CAAATGAGTGTATTTGGTTTAATTCTGGGGGCTCTCTGTGCCTTCCCCTCACTTCTTTCCTTTCCCACAACCCTGTTTATTTCCTGGTGAAACCATTACCACCTGAACTTTTGACGCTGTCTATTCAGGTTTCTTACTTGGTAATGAGCAAACAGTGGCAGTAACTGCACTGGCAGGAAGTAAATTCTACTGAACTACACTGCTCCCACAAGCTTCTTGAAACTGTCAAAGAGTTGTGGGCTGAGTCACCACCTCTTTTCAAATTTGATGATTTGCTAATGTCCCCATCCTCAGATGATCTTTCCTAGGAAGTAAACCTGTCCAACATAAGGTAGCACAGATAAGAAAATACAGGCATCACCATTTCACATGAAGCAAGTTTCACTTATACAACATCGTGCTTTGCCCCCAAAATACAGGTTTCATTTTGAGTCCAAATACTAATGTGACTTTGTCCAGCCTTATTTCAGCAAAATGAAAGTGAATCTTCTACAGCAAGCCTCTGTCTCCTGGTCAAAGTCAGCAACCAGATAAGTGACTGCCAGCCCAACAGCAGGGATATGACCAATGAACTACAGAACTAAAAGTTTAATCTGTTACAGCTTTAAAGATAAAGACAAGTTCTACAGTATAGGAAAGTAGTTGACCCCATCAGTATCAGATACAGGTATGCTCTGAGCACTGCACTAGAGTGGCTTCTGTGCAGGGCAGTCAAGAGAGAGCTTTTACATTTGAACAGCTCAGAAATGTGCAAAAAAGCCAGCTGTCATTCCAGCAGTGACACTTTAAATAAAAAATCACCATGTGGAAAAAATAGGGGGTTTTGGAAAAATTCAGTTTGTTTTCTTTTTCTGCTTGCAAAACTTTAAAAATGTAAATTATTAAAAAAAACATACTAAAGATTGCACCATAAGACCAATCTGTCCAACCAAAAAGATATTAAAACATTCCTGTTTAAGAAGTGAAAAGCAATAAACAATGAAAATAGATCAAAATTTCAGTTTGATTCTAACAGAAAGAAAAACCTAATTATACTCTACACTTCATTTCCTAATTTTACTTCCCTTTCTTTTTGGCAAGCTCTATACTTCAAGGTAGAGTTCTTGAGAAAGTCAGT